GAGAGAGAGAGAGAGAGAGAGAGAGAGCACAGAGAACTGCTGCCAAACCAGCTCGACAGGGCACAATATGTGTGTGTGTGTGTGTGTGTGAGAGAGAGAGAGATAGAGAGAGAGAGAGAGAGAGAGAGAGGTTTCACACAAGTTTCATATCGAGTTTATGAAGTAACGTACAAGATCGAAATGGAGGTGCAATACGACATAAAGGGGTTATCACCATGCTTCGACCACCCACCCCTCAGCCCTTCAGGCGGGAAAAGACAAACTTGCAGTTCTGTTTTCTGAACCTCTCTGTATAGCTACCGAAGCCTGTGTCCATGGAAGCGGGTGTAATATTGCATGGTGAAGGTGATTGCTAAATTTATAACATGTGAATAAAAAAACAATGATTCTCGGTGAATAACTCAACCACTAAATGAATCTGGGATTTCTTTGGATGAGCCACTATTGCTTTACGAGCAAGTGGGCAAGCTCAAAATAAAAAAAAAAAAAAAAAAAAAAAAACGTCAACGGTTGTGCACACTGTCATGAAGAGCAAAAAATCAAATTGCAAAACTGCCGGTAAAGTCCTTTCATTGTCTGACCAGCCGAGTCGTTTATGTGGACGTCATGTGCATTCACCTTCTCCCTACCTCACCCCTCCTCGTACTGTCTTTCTCTCTTTTCCCTCCTCTTCCAACCCTTCTCCCTCCCTCCCTCGTCTCTCCCCCGCCCCTCCCCCTCCCTCTCTCTCCCACCTCTCTTTTCATGGCTCTCTCTCCCTTCCCACTTCTCCTGTCCGCCACGTCGTGTCTGTTCGGACAACTGCAGGAAGAACTTGAGGAGGACAAGCAAGCTGCTGTGTACGACGACTTCAAGTTTGTGACGAGAGAAGAAATAGAGAAGCTCAATTTGACGAATCTGATCGGCACAAACCTCCTCCGTGCGTATATGCATGGTTACTTCATGGATCATCGGCTCTATCACAAGGTGCGTGCGTTTTTTATAATAGTCCTATTTGTCCTGGAAAAAAATGGGGTATAATACTGTATTTTTTTTTATTATTATTTTTTTTTTTAATGTGTGTTTTCCAGGCGCTCAGGTCATTCCGACATCGAACCTGATAAGTGAAGTCAGAAGCCCATTCTCGTTCCTTTCTATGTTTTTTTTTTTTTTTTTAATTATCTTTCCTTGTTATCTTCTGGTTCATTGATGAAGTTAAAGTTATGTAGTCTGATAGATGAAGGATTTACCGGCCTTGCGAAGACTAAATTAAAAATTAACAAATGCTCAAAGGCCCAAAGGGTTTACCCTGCCTCGCCCTGAACTGCAGGCAGGCAGAGGTCCACAGTTGAGTTTGCACTTACCTCGATTCCAGTGTGTGTGTGTGCTGTCTCTTATACACATCTAGATGTGTATAAGAGACAGGAGAGAGAGAGAGAGAGAGAGAGAGAGAGAGAGAGAGAGAGAGAGAGAGAGTTAATTTCTGCGTCTAGTCTGAATGCTTCCATCACTCTGCCAAGGGCTTGGAAAGATGAATCTCGGGATCTGATTCGACAGTTGGTTGACCAAAGGGTCTTCTGTCAGGAAGGAGGAGGGGATTGCATTCAAGATAATAATATCACTGGAGAACATCAGTCCTGTCTCTTATACACATCTAGATGTGTATAAGAGACAGTCTCTGTATCATTCCAATATTAATGAAGCCTGAAGGCAATTAATTGGACTGGATTAGGGATGGGCTACCAGGCGGTCTACCCGGGCTGTCTCAGGCTGTGGAGGTAGCACAGCCAGGGCAGGTTAGGGCAATGTCACGGGCAAGCTCCCGGGCAGCCACAGCACAAATAAGGAAAGGAAAAAATAATTAAGCCGAGAAAATAGTCAAGATACAAAACTATGCTGTGCAAAATTGCAAATCAATGCACAATTGCAAATCAAACAACTTTTGGCTGAGAGTTGCTTGAAGTTTCCTCATTAATGATTGGGAATGAATTTGAGTTAAAAAAAATAAAATAAAAACCCTCATGAAATTGATGAAACGGTATTAACCTGTTCGCAGTAGCGGACGCAGATCCCAGGGCTCGATCCCTAGTTCTCACCTTACCTGTGTACAGTATCTGTGTCGACCCCGAGAGTTGAACCCGTGACCTGTGTATTTGTAACAGTTGGTAGACTGTCGTAGGGTCCGTAGGTAGTAGGGGTTCGATCTGTAGACCTGTCGGGTAGGACTCTTAGCAAGGTCTCGAAGTCGTAGCTGTTGCTCCTCCGAAAGGTCAAGCTCGTAGCTGCTACAATCCTGAAGGGTCAAGGTCGTAGCTGCTACAGTATCGAAAGGCCAAGTCCACGGCCTTCCGGAAGGTCCTAGTAGTGGCCTTTCGAAGTTGCTCACGTTTAGGCTGAGGCAAGTGGGCAAGTGGTGAGTCCACCCGTGCTGAGTCAGCAGTCCCAGTCCCAGTCAAGCAAGTACCGCACGGGACTGTGTGCACCACGGGCATGGGAAAGGGGCAGACCAACAAGAGACCCAGCTATTCATTCATTCCTGCATAAGCCATGCGGAAGCGCTGCCACAGCAACTTGTGCGAGGTGGTCTGCAGTGAGCCGGAATACGAAGTGGGCGAGAGAAGGAGCTTAGCCATAGCAATAGGGTAGCAGCGGCCATAGCCGCCATAGCTGATAGGAGAGTGTAGCGTGTATGTGTGTGCGTGTGTGTACAGTGTGATGCGTGTGGGATATCCAGGGTGATCCTGTGTGTGTGTGAACAGAGAGATGTACAGGCGCTGTACTGCCATAGCCATTTGAATTGAACTTGTATCCGAACTGCGTTCTTAGCTACCATATCTCTGAGTTCTGAGTGGGCGCTTGTCGCCAGTTTGCTGCGCAACCTGTTTGCATGCGTGTGAAGTGTGAATGAAAGCGAGTCTGATTGCATTGAAAATAAGAAGTAACAAGCGATGCCTGCCGCAGATGTGGCGTGGACCAGCCACTGCGCGAGGTTGTTCATCTCATGTGTACTCGATGTGGCACTATGTGGGCTACCGCCGGAAAAAAAAGCCCATGTTCAAAGTATGCGGACTGGATGGCACTATGTGGGCTGGCCTGTACTACCCCTGAAAAAAAAAAAAAAAAACTCATGTGAATAGTGCGGGGCCTGCGGGCCCATCAACTCTTGATAGGCAGACCCGAGTTGGAGTGCTATTGGTTACCAAAGCAAC